TACCTCCTGCTGCTGCTGCTGCTCCTCCTGCTGCTGCTGCTGCTGCTGCTGCTGCTGCTGCTGGTGGTGGTGGTGGTGGTGGTTCGTCTCCTTCTCTCCTTGTATACTTTAATGTATTTAGTGCTGCTGCTGCAGCAGCAACAGCTGCTGCAGTTCCTTCTGCAGCACCACCACCCTGCTGCTGCTGCTGCTGCTGCTGCTGCTGCTGCTGCTGCTGCTGTTGGTTGTATTCTTGTTCTGCTGCTAGCATTCTTTGTTTATATTCATTGGGGTGTATAGACAGCTGAACGCCTGGTGTTTCTCCGAGGGTTTTTATAAAGGAAGCAGCAGAAAATAGATGTGTATAATAGTAAGCTGTCTCCCCATTCATATATAAAGGATTTCTATACGAAGAAATAAAATAAATATTAAAAAATAATTTATTTATATTTGTTTTTATTAGTGTATATATTAATAAAGGTAATAGATCATCTGCTGCTGCTGCTGCATGCATGCGCATGCGTATACACCCCAACAGCAGTTTACATACATATAATATTATTTTTAATTTATCGTATGGGGCCCTAACTAAATTTATTTTCTTTAGTTCAACTGCTGCTGCATTCACTACCTCCTCTAAACTCCATCCTCCTGCTGCTGCTGCTGCTCCTGCTGCTGCTGCTGCTGCTGCTGATGATGATGCTGCTGATGGTGCTGCTGCTGCTGATGGTGGTGGTGGTGGTGCTGCTGCTGCTGCTGCTGCTGTTGTATCTCCTGTTTCTCCCGCTGCTGCTGCTGCTCCTCCTCCTTCTCCTTCTCTTTCTGCTGCTGCACTTGCTGCTGTTCCTGCTCCTGCTGCTGCTCCTGCTGCTGCTGCTGCTGCTGCTGCTGCTGCTGCTGCTGGGGGGTCCCAAGGAGGTATCTCTAGGTGTTTAGGTTCAACCCACTGCAGCAGTTTAATTTTTATATATATTTTTTCGTCTTCTTCTTTTTCTTTTTCTGTTTCTTTTGGGAGTATATGATATAACTTTTGTATTAAAAACTTCTCTAAACCCTCACCTATTTCATATCTATCTGCTGCTGCTGCTGCTGCTGCTGCTGCTGCTGCTGCTGCTGCTGTTGCTGCTGTTGATTGCTCTCCTCCCCCTGCTCCTGCTCCTGCTCCTGCTCCTGTTGCTGCAGCTCCCGCACCAGCAGCACCAGCAGCACCAGCAGCAGGAGCAGCAGCAGCAGGAGCAGCAGCAGCAGCAGGAGCAGCAGGAGGAATATATGGTGGTGGTGGTGTTTTGAATGCTGCTGTCTCCTCTAGCATGTGCTGCACCTTAGCAGCAAACGCATGCAGCATTGCTGCTGCTTCTGCGCGAGAAAGCCCCAAAGGAAAAGTTTCAACGAAGCGGCGCATGCATGCAACAGCAGCAGCACATGAAGGGTCCTTTAGTTTATCTAAAAATAAACTATATGCTGTTCGTTGGCGATAGGGTTGTTGTTGCGGTGCTGGGGCATCTGCTGCTGCTGCTGCTGCTGCTGCTGCTGTTGCTGCTGCTGTTGCTGCTGTAGTTTCAACCCTGTAGCTGTTCTGGTTTTGTTGGGAGGGTTTAGAGACAGAGGAAGAAGAAGGAGACAAATCTTTTGCTGCTTCTCTACTGCTGCTGCTGCTGCTGCTGCTGCTGCTGTTGCTGCTGCTGCTGCTGCTGCTGCTCTTTGGTGGGGGAAGGCCCTCCTGCAGCAGCCGCTCGAATTCAGTGCGGCCCTGTACAGCTGCCCCTGATCCATATGCATCTGCTGCTGCTGCTGCTGCTGCTGCTGCTGCTGCTGGTGATCCTGCTGCTGCTGCTGCTGGTGATCCTGCTGCTGCTGCTGCTGCTGCTGCTGTTGTTGCTGCTGCTGCTGAGGGTGATTGCTTCGATCCCCCCCCACGAAGAACACCAAAATTAAACGGCAACGCGCGCAGCAACCGGCTGGCAGCACCACCACTGACACCCTGCTGCTGCTGCTGCTGCTGCTGCTGCTGCTGTAGCTGTTGCTGCTGCTGCTGTTGCTGCTGCTGCTGCTGCTGCTGCTGTGAGCCAGCTGCAGCAGATTCGAATGCTGGTGATGTCTGCTGCGCCTCCCGAGAAGCTTCGCTTCCGTCCGAGGTGGTGGCTCGACTTGCTGCTGCTGCTGCTGCTGCTGCTGCTGCTGCTGCTGCTGCTGCTGTTCCTGCTGCTGCTGCTGCTGGTGGAGAAAGGCTTTCGTGCTGCTGCGGCTTTGGCTGCTCCGTTTCGGTCCGCCCGGTGAGGTAACTCTCATCTCCTGCTGCTGCTGCTGCTGCAGGAGCAGCAGCAGCAGCATCAGCAGCAACATCAGCAGCAGCAGCAGCAGCAGCAGCAGCAACAGCAGAATCAGGGGTTGGGGGCTGTTCAGGGGGAGAGAAAGCAGAAGTTAGATCGCTCGAGCTGCGGCAAAGGGCCCGCATATTCTCCATTGAGTTGCATGCGCTGTCGTTGCTGCTGATGGTTCGCAGCAGCAGCAGTAGCAGCAGTTGTTGCTGCTGCTGCTGCTGTTGCTGCTGCAGCGCAGTGTCTACGCA